TTTTCCAGCTATAAAAATAGAATAATCAAATATTCCCCAAAAACCAATTAGCCAATGTTTGTGAATATAATTGTATTTGAGAAAGGTACTAATTAGAATTTCCCCAACTTTTGAGACCTATTTCAGATAGTTATAAATACCTATCTCTATAATTCGTAATAATCGTTAATTTTAAGGAATTATGAAGTTCGGCGTGATTTTCATGTTTTCCTGATATAGTGTTGGCGGTTTATTTGGGATACCATTTGTATTTTGTTTTTGCAAAATAGTCAGGCTGAATCCCAGTTTGTTGTTTTTATAAAAAAACAACTATTTATTAGTGGGGAATGTATGGCATTGTTTGCCGAGGGGTAAAGCAGGGAACTGATGAGGATCAGTGGCGTGATCCGAAACTATAGTCTTCCCTGCCTTACCCCTCGGCAAACAATGCCATACATTCCCCACTAATAAATAGTTGTTTTTTTATAAAAACAACAAACTGGGATTCAGCCTGACTATTTTGCAAAAACAAAATACAAATGGTATCCCAAATAAACCGCCAACACTACTGAAGTTGTAGACGCAGGCACGGTTAAACTGTTTGGTTTGTTGCTGTACACTAGCAACACCAACAAAGTCGTTGTGTGCATTTGTCGCGATGTGACAACACACAACAGTGGGAAAGGTGTGGTATTGTTTGTAAATGCCTTGTTAACCTCGAAGTGAGGCTCCAGCGAAATTCTCATGCAGTTTATGTCGTTGGTCAGCTAAGTACTTCGCTTTGTTACAAGAGACATTTGGGTATGAAAGGTTTTTTGTATAGAAGCAATAGCTTCTGGGGAGAATATCCCAACAAAAAACTAAGGGAACTGATGAGGATCAGTGGCGTGATCCGAAACTATAGTCTTCCCTGCCTTACCCCTCGGCAAACAATGCCATACATTCCCCACTAATAAATAGTTGTTTTTTTTTATAAAAACAACAAACTGGGATTCAGTCTGACTATTTTGCAAAAACAAAATTTCCTGATATCTCTAAAACTAAACGTAAAAAGTTGAAAAACACAGAAGTTGTTCTTTATTTAAGAGTAAAAATTGAATATACCACCCCAATACACATTCATGCACTTATCAATGATCTGTAACAAGCTGACAATTTACGTCTAGTTATGATTTTTTTGGATGGTCAATTAAATTTGTCTGACTTAAATTACCTTGCGTGGATAACTTCACATATTTCCAAAGATTACTCACGCATTTCATTTTGGGAAGTTCTTTAAGTTTTTCCTATTTCCAATTAAGTTCTTAATTGATTTTGTATTAACTACCATGACAATGTCTAGCCATATGTGTGTGTGTGCATTCAGTTTTATTGATTTGGGAAAGCGATTTTCTTATGCTTCAATTGTCATGAGATCTAATTAATTTTGTTAAATGATGAAGAATCTCCGTTTGTAAGAGTCAACCAGTAAGGAAAGTAGTAAAGTCGGACTGGCCGACTATATGATACCCTTCACCACTTTGGGGATATTCTACATATGTATCTTTACAGATGTCGTCTTTTTGAAGGAACATTGACATGAAATTGAACGAACTTAAAAATGTGATCTTTATCTGTAAGTAAACCGACTAACATCAATCCTTACACATGCCATTCCGCAATCTATTCCATACTTTATAAATAGACTTTAAGCTAAATTGTGTGCGGGTCGGTCAATCTTTGGTAGTGCACAATTTACATTAAATCGAACTAAAATATATATTGGAGCTATATCTAAATCTGAACCGATTTTTACCAAACTTAGCACACATCAATTTGGACCCAATTCAGTACCCTATGCCGAATTTCGTGCAAATCGAAAGATATATAGGGACTTTGGAGACCCATTTACTTTAAATCGGACGAAAATATATATGGGAGCTATATATAAATCTGACCCGATTTTCTCGAAACTTAGCACACATCATTCTGAACCTAATTTAGTACTCTATGCCAAATTTCGTGCAAATCGAAAGATATAGAGGGACTTTGGTGCCCCATTTACCTTAAATCGGACTAAAATATATATGGGAGCTATATCTAAATCTGAACCAATTTTTCCCAATTTCAATAGGGTTCGTCCTTGGGCCAAATAAGTGAACTGTGCCAAATTTCATCCAAATCGGATCATAAATGCGATCTGTACTTTGTTTACAACTTAACATCTACAGACGGATGCACGGACATGCATAAATGGACTCAGAAAGTGATTCTATGCATATTCTCAAAAGGAACCATGTGTCTATCTCGTTTCCTTTTGCCTGTTACAAATATGCACAAAGACATAATACCCTGTACCACAGTGTGGTGAAGGGTATAATAAATTGAGAATTAAACAGTATATCTTTGTGCATATGTTTGTAACTGGAAAAAGGAAACGAGATATACCCATGGTACCTTTTGAGAAAATGCATAGAATCACTTTCTGAGTCGATTTATATATGTCAGTCCGTCTGTCCCGAGAACATCAATACTATCAGTCCATAGATGGACTACATGAATAAAGTATATAAGAAGATATATAAGATATATAAGAACAATTCTCCAAACGAATGGGGCGTAATCTCCGACAAGAGGATAATATTTTTTTCCAATGCTTTAACCTTTTCATATGAGACATAAAAAAATATGCAATTATAGATCAAGAACGTAAGAAGGAAAAGATTACTCATCCGCAAAACCCTATTGTATCCGAAGAAATGACCTATTAAGGATGTAATCTACATGACGGATAAAATCGAAGTTATCCTAATATCTAATTCAGCTTATCAAAAACAGAATCCTCCAAAATTTAGGATAAAGTATACCAAGCTTAAGATATGCCACATCACATTACTTTCCTTCATTCACCTTAAGACGCCATCTAACGAAGTACGGAGAGTCTCGAAGTACTCGTTACCGCGAGAGAAAGCAAATGGGACATCATCAGCATAAGTCAAGAGAAGTCCTCCAAGTATTGGTGCCGGAATATCGAACGAAAAAATGTGGTACAACATGGGACCGAGAAGAGGACCCTGATGAACTCCAGAAAAAACCCAGGAGTCCTAAAGACATGAGCTCTAAAGATCAAACCACTGAAATTTATATAAAATATCATGATGCCGAATTGACAATATCGAACGACACAGTTATTATTCCGTATTTCCCATCGAAACTACCAAAAGTCGTTAAGGCATGGACCGTTGCCAAAACCCAAGAGTCAAAATATCGGTGTTAGACCCCCAACCTTGTGCGAAAAATAATTCTCGAATGTAGTTACCAATTTCATCCAAACATATTACATGGTTATATTGTAAAAGCTCAAATATGCGAACTATCGGCCCACTTCTTCTGGTACCTCCCCCATAAAATGGCAACATTTTACTGGTCCACTCTTTCTTATGTATGTGTAAAATAAAACTGTAAATATAAAACTTGTATGAAGTGAACGGAATATCCTTTGGAATATCATCTAAGATCTGCTCATCGTAAAATTTTACCCAATACAGAATGAAATACAATATAAAGTGAATGCATTTTCCGATTTGATCAAACATAACACATCGCAGATTTTTTTTCTAAATCTAAATTATGTCAAAAAATGTGGACCGAACATGTAATTTTATATCCTTTACCACACTGCGGTACAGGATATTATGTCCTTTAACAGACAAAAGGAATCAATTCACATTCTGAGATATATACGTGTCCGCCCTGAGATATATACGTGCAGGTCACATTTATGATTCGAATTGGATAAAATGGAAATAAATAAGCTATAGCGTCCGATTTTACAATGGTGTACCACCCTCCTAATGTTTGTCCGCTTAAGACACAAATTCGTACATGTTTCCAAATTGAGGTTAGAATAACGGGAATAAAGTTTTGTCGAAATCGTTTCAGATTATGATAAAAATATGATGCACCTAACTCCCACAGTTTGGCGAAATGTATTTTTATACCCACCACCATAAGGTGGAGTGTATATTAAATTTGTCATTCCGTTTGCAACACCTCGAAATATTCAGCGGAGACCTCACAAAGTATACATATTATTGATCAGAATAAAATTCTATGTTGATTTATACATGTCAGTCTGTTGAAATCACGATAGCTATCGCAATATTCTTTAATATCGCTCTAAAATTTTGCACAGACATCGCTAGTACTCCTATGATGTTTGATTTACCGTAATTTGGCACTTTGGGTTTTCATGGTATAGCACATCTCCGTACAAAAACTTATCAATATTGACCCAGGTTTCGGGGTAACCCCCATATAACGGTAGTCCCCAATACTCGGTATTTTGGGGTTTTTGGGACAGGGTTTTCAATCGAATTGGCTGTAGTTTGGTATTTCGGGTACTAATTGTATAGCACATTTCCGTACTAAAAGTGTTTAATATTGACCTACGTTTAAGAGTAGCCTCCATAATATGATATTCCCCAATATGAGAATTTTTGAAACGTGTTTCAATCAAATATAGACTCAAGTCGCTATTTTGAGAATTTTGAACACGTTTTTCAACCGAATTGGCTGTAATGTGGTATTTTGTTTTTTTTTTAATGTGGTATTTTCATTGGCTGTCAAACATCACTACCAAAATATCAATATTGATTTCCGTTTTATTATAGCCCCATATAACGGTAGTCCCACTATTAGATGTTTTGAGAATTTTGATGATCTTTTTCTCACTTATTTTTCTGAAACGGTTGAAATCCGTTTCAGAAAATTTGGAATCGATTTATACATGTCCGTCCGTCCGTTGTCCCTCTGTCTGGCTGCTACGCACGATAATTCTCGAAGGGAATAATCGATTTCATCCAAACTTTGCACATCTTAATATTTCTTCCAAACATAGTTTCAGTTCGATTTTTTTTTCAAGAGTTTAAAAAGTTCGTTCACACCTTTTAAAATAACACAACAACATGCCCAATAATAGAACTAAGCGGGCTCTCAATAAAAAATGATTTTAAAAAAATATTTGATCAGCCATAACTTACCTTCTCTTGAGTAGATTCATCGACGCCACTGTCATTGTCACCCTCTGTAAAAAGAAACAATAACATTATTTAAACAATTTGAAATATAATTACAGAATATATATATATATATATATAAATATATATAAATACAAATTTGTAAGAAATGGCTTTAGATTTTCGTTATAAATATCAATAAAATTCAATCTTACTCGATATAGAACCTGTCACTTCACCACTTATGGACTTGGAAATACTGCTATCATTCATTAAGGAATCGGGTGAGACTAATGACAAATCACTGGTCTTAACCATGGAGGCTGGAGAATCATCTTTGTAGGCAGCATCTTCATCGGCTTCATTTAACGCCGGACCCATGGGATCATTTTTGAGTTGAACGGTTTTTTGGGGCGTGACAGCTTGGCCCATTATCACATCATCGTCGTCATTGTTCGATAGAGAGGAAGGTGGTCTTTGTGGCTGTTGCTGCTGTTGTTGTTGTGATTGAGGTTGTTGCTGCTGTTGTTGGGGTGCCGGAGGTCTTGTTTGAGGTTGTGGTTGCTGTTGTGATTGAGGTGGACCACCTGGTGCTCCTGGTGGACGATTAAATGGCGGTCGTGTGGCTGCCTGATTACCGGGGTAGGGATTTGGTGGTCTTGCAGCTGACTGTTGTTGCTGTTGCCCAGGCACCTGGGGTGGCCATGGAAACGCACCTTGTGGTCGTGGCCCACCCTGACCCGTTGGACTCTGTGGACCTCCACTATTTAGTGGTGGCGGCGGTCTTTGTTGTGGGTTCTGCGGTGGGCCACCTGGTCGTTGCGGGGATGGTACACCAGGATTTCCCATTAATAGGTTTCCTCGGCTATCCATTGTACGTAAGGGTGGTGGAGCACCCGGACGCACACCGGCACCTGGGCCTCCTGCCATAGGTGGACCGCCTGGTCGTGGGCCACCCATTGGTCTGGGTGGCATTCCTCCGGGGAAGGGTGGTCGTGGTGGTCCGGCTGGCCTCATCTGTGTATAAAGAGGTGGTCTGGTATTATTTTTATCCATATTTTCCAAGTGGCGACTCTTAGCCGACTGGTGCAAGTGATTGCAGTTTTGTCTGTGCCAGCAGTATGCCTTAACGTGGCATCTAATAAAGGTGCAGCAGTAACATAAAAAGGGTGCATGTAAACCGAAACTCTAGGCATTTTTTGCAGATTAATTTGCAACTTAATGGACATTTTGATGGTTGTCAAATAAAATTATTAATTTGCTTAGGCCAAAAAACGAAATTGTTTTCTATTGATAACAAATAATAAAGGAAACAGTCAAACGTGGAGATAATGAACAACATTGACCTTAAAATCAAATAAATATGCTCATATTATTTATACCCTACACAACTATGTTGTCAGGGTATTATAGCTTTGTGCAGCCCCAAATGTTTGTAACGCCGCGAAATATTGGTCCTAGACCCACCTTTAAGTATACCGATCGTCATATCTCGACTAGCTGAGTCGATCTAGACATGTGTGTCCGTCCGTCCGTCCGTCCGTCTGTCCATTATAATTTGTAAACACGATACAGGCCACAGTTATGGACCAATCTTCACGAAATTTTGCATGTAGGATGGGTTCTGGCCAATGAAGACCCCTATTGTTTTTGGAAAAGATCGGTTAATATTTAGGGGATGAAATGGACCAAATACTAAATTTTTGTCGGTTTTTCTGGTCGCTCCAGAGGCCGCAATTATGGCCCAAACACCGCGAAATTTTGCATGGAGAAGGGGATCGGGCCAGAGAATAAGCATGCATGTTTTGATAAAGATCGGTCAATATTTAGCGGGTCAAATGGACCCTGACTTTTGTGTGAAAAATGGCAAAATTTGTATTCTATGGCATATATATTTACTCCTGGAGGATGTAGACCCCAGGAGTTGATAGCATATCCAAGAGGAGTGGTTGGCCTTTAAATTGATACCAAATATAGTGATGTATCTACTCAGATGTGGGAGTTACAGTCAAATATTTACAGGTGCTTACGTATTCAGATATTATTTAGTAACCCATTACCACATTAGAGGGAGAAATATCGCGCTGATGGCTTTGAAATTTTTCATGAAGTTCCAGTTATAGTCAAGAACAACGCCTACAATTTTCGGTGATGATCAGGATACAATTTTGGGATGAAATGGACGGAAAACATAATTTTTTGTGTGTTTTCGAGTAGAGTATAATCCGAAAATCACAACACAACCCACCGTGAAGGTAATCTGGACAAAAAATTAGAAGGACTGTACTGAATATTCGAAAAAAGTAAGAAAGAGGTGTTGTTGACCTCTAATCGGACAACAGGGGGCAAATATCACGGAATACTACTCAGACTCAGAATAAACATCCTCAGAAAGTTAGAGTTCGTGGTAGTTGTGTAGGGTATCGTATGGTCGGCCCCGTCCGACTATACTGCTCCGCTCACTGGTTTTATTTATTTCTTCTCAGCGAGTTACCAATAACTAGGTTCTACTGTATTCTAGAAATCCGTATCATATCCTTTTACGATTAAGGCATATTTGTCATGAAATACAGTTTACCATTGTAACATGACCTGAATTGTCATAAAGATTTGTTTAGTCGTTGTTGTTGTTTTTTGTAATTCTCCTTGTTGTTGTTTTATTGTCCCGCAAAAGAAATATAATTTGCACTGCCAATAAATTATTGATTCAACAAAATTTACTCCCAATGTATGGCTATGGCATATTTATTTATTTTGCTTTTTTGGCTCAACCCCTTTATTCGGTTGTGGTTATTGCCATCTACCATCAAATTCGAACCACAAACTTTACCAATAAAATGTTGTGATATTTGTTGTTTATGACAGAAAATATTAGATTCCAAAAACAATAAAAAAACCACAAAAAAGGGTTAGACTCATTCGGTGCTTGGCAAGAACTGTACGATTGAGCAGAGCAAATATTTACCAATAACTTATTTGGGGGTAAGTTGTATTTATATTGGGTCATTGGAATAGTAAAAAATTTGTTTTTGTAGAACTATATTAATTACACCCTACTTGTGTAGCCCCAAAATTTTGTAACGGTGCGAAATATTGAATCTAGACCCAATTACTCGACTAGCTTAGTTGATTCAGACATTTGTGTCCGTCCGTCTTCCAAACATGAAATTGCATGTAGGATGGGTTGTGGTCTGGACAGATTTTTGTGTGAAAAATGACAAAATGTTTATTCTATGGCGAATATATTTACTCCAGAAGGATATAGATTCCAGAACAAAATTTAATCTAGATTTAAAATTTCTTTGGGAGTTTGGTGGAACATTTACATAAAATCGGACAAAAATGCATTCACCTAAGTCTGTTTTTACACGGTTTTGATATAACACGGTTTGAAAATTGAATATTTTTAATTTTTTTAGACGATTTTATTCCATTTAGCACGATTTGAAATTTTATGTACTTAAACGGCATATATATTAGAACTTTTTACCGGGTTAACCTACTTTATAAAGATTTATTTGATATATATGGAAAGGAATTGACAATTGAAGCCCACTGGATGAACGAAATCCGGTTAAATGTAAACGTACCATTAAATTGTTTTTGTCAAATTTAATTTTTGCGAAGTATGTTCATAACCCATGTTAAGTTCGGACCGGCCGAACTTTCTATGGGGTGACACTCAAAATATGTAAAATTTATGGGGGCTTCTAGGAGAAAATCCATGATATGATAGGACCTTGAATATACCAAAAAAGTCGTGAGAAAATTATGATTATCTAATAGCCCCATATTAGATAATCATCTAATACAAAAATTGGTATCATTATTGATAATTTCGAGTAGTGGAATTTGACAGCCAATGAGAATATGGGATCTACCCGGAAACTTGTATCAATATTAATAATCTTTAGCATGAAGATGTACTATACAATAAGAAACCAAAATACCAAATTACAGCCAAAAATACAACCAAATCTCCTAAATACCGAATAGGGGGGCTACCCAGAAACTTGGGTCAATTTTAATATCGTTTAGTGTGGAGACGTGCTATACAATAAGAAGTCACAACACAAAATTACAGCCAATTCGGTCGAAACACGAGTCGAAAATTCCCTAAATACTGAATATTAGGGGTACCGATATACACCAAAATATGACCCCATTTGCAATACCAAACATCCTGGGAGAAAAATGTCTGTGTGCAATATTTCAGAGATCGGTCGTGCATAAATCGACATAGAATTTCAATCTGATCAATTCTTTGTGGGGTCTCCGGTGAATATTTCGGGGTGTTGCAAACGGAATGACAATCCAATTAATGGTGGAGGGTATAATTAGTACATGTCATTATAGGCTAATATTAATGTAAACCGGACACACGTTGAGTGTTCCGTACATCATCGTAGAATCGGGGGAAAAAATATTATGAAGGTAATTATCTTCTGATCAACCGTAGCGCATGCTATATTTTCAAACACGGGTTATACATTGCTTCCATATAAAAGTACCAACCCATTTTAGGTATTTTTGAGGTCCTAGGTACATTTTCAAACCAAACTGTTTTATGTGGACATTCCCGGTTCTTAGTGGTAAACCACTTATTCGCCGACTTTTTTCTACATAGGTCCATAATTTCACATTGATTTTTAAGGGAACCCCCCCATTCTCGGGGTCAAATTTTTGTTGATATAATTCGAATCTACACTGATTAAAGAATGTCTCTACAAAATTTCAAGTGAAAATCTCAAGAACTCTTGAAGATATAGCCGATTTATTGTGTCAGCATCAAGTGACGGCTGAAGGGCTTCTCAAACTTTAAACGCGTTTTTCTCTAAACATTTTTCTGCGAATGGCGGGCACGATAACTCAAAAACTAATAATCCAATCGGTTCCAAATTTTGCAACGTTTCTCTGGGAGTGTATAGCTCTCGTATGAACTAGGATAAAGTCAATCGGTGAAGATCTTCCTTATTTTTTAACTTGGTTTTTGGTAAAAAATCGGCGATTTTCCAAAAAATATTTTTTCAAAGGTCCGCCATTTTGTTAATTTTAGAGCGAAGTCAATAATCCTAGTTCATACGAGAGCCAGACATGTACTCATTCTAACACCGTTGGAATTTTCCGGATTCCGAATTGTACAACCTAGTTGTCTGTAATTTGGAATTTCGTTTTATGACCTCCCGTACACAATTAACAATTTTCAATCGGTTTTAGGGTATGGAAAGTTCGACCCGGATGAAGAAACGGAAACGAGCAATCACAAAGTATCTGTATCTCTTCTTAAAAGTTTCTAGAAATCGTTATGTGATTTGTCAAAAATATGGAAATATTTAGTGCCATATAAAGTGTCATTATAAAGTGCCAAAATTATCTATAATTTGGTAATAACTTCAAAAGTGCAGCTACTACATTATTTTATGTAAATATATTGCTTTAAATTCAATTCACAACTCACCGCATCCGTATCACCCATTTTTCAATGTTGTTAACTTAAAACTGCAACTCAATAAATTGTCGGCAATGCAACTTCGTAGTTTATTATTTCTTAATACAAAATATTTTGGGATTTTCCCAAACAGAATATTTACAACTTTAATTATATGCCGAAATTTGGTTTACTACAAAAACCAGAAAATTACTTAGTTTTCATTTTCAATTAAATAACTTTTTAAAAGTTTCAAATAATGAGATGTTACAAAAAAAAAAACAAAAAAAAAAAAAAAAACATTTGCAGAGAAATCGATAAATTTGGAGAGCCGGTTATTGCATGAATTTTTCTTCACAAAAAACTACTGTAAATTTAAATTTGATAACTGTTTCTTTAAATTTTAATGACTACACACATTTTCAAAACACTCAATCATTTAAATATGACACAAGTTCCATTATAATAATGTAAAATCACTTTTCACAATTGCGTTTTTTCATTAAAGAAAATGTAAATCAAATAGTTGTGTTTTTTTATTTTTTTTCTGTGTTTAACTTTGTTGAACGCCCAACCACGTGTGAAATGTTCCGCACGACAGACTTACTTACAAAGTTGGCCGGCGAACAAACGGCGGCGACGGAAATCCAACCAAAGGAACCAAACAACGCAAAGTCACTAACTTTTGTGTTTTTGGTGAGGATTTCAACTGCAGTAATAAAATTGTACACCATTTCAATTGTAACATTTGGGATTATTATCATTATGAGCAACAAAATGGCCCAATACGGTTTGAGAAAAAACCCTGAATTGATTTTGGAAATCTGAAGATAATAAACCGTTTATAACAAACATCAGCCTTCGTCATAATCAACAGCAAGTTGAAGTGGTACCAGGAAAAGATGCCCTATAGACCATATATTTGGATATAATTTAGATTCGAACCAGAAGTAGTGTGCCAATGGGTTCCCATCTTCGGTCTTTCTAGTTTTGGTAAAAGTGATATAATGTGCACAGTTTGGATCACATCGGACTCTTTATTCGCTTGATATTGGATTGAAAATGTTAACACCTTGTGGGGGAGGCGCAGGAAGGAGTAGAGAGATAGGCCCCATTTTTGGATTTCGGAGTTGGTGAAAATATTATATTACGATGGCAAATTTTCAAAATTTTGACGTCATGTGATGGAGTTACCAGAATGATCGCAATTTTTGACTTTGTGGAGGAGGTACTAGATGGTGCCAACCGATAGTCCCCAGCATGTGATAGTTTTGGTAAACATATTAATGTTTGGGTCAAATCGATTGCTTCGTTCGCATGACAAATAGGAAATTTATCAGGAGTTCTTCCATCCTCTGAAGAAACAAAATACCAGATTGAAAATTGAGCTAAGGTCCTCATCATGCAGAAAAAACATTTAGTAAATTTTAGTACGTATTTCAAATATCCGACCTTAGACAATGTTTATACCCTCAGACTTATGGCTAATGCTATATACATTTTGATACGGTGAAAATGTGCCTCATCGAAATATTGGTTTTAGACCCATGTTTCTTTGGACCCAATGCGTTTAAGAAAATTTGGATTAGATTTACGCATGTCCGTCCGTTCGTCTGTCTGTCTGGCTGGTGCGCACGATAATTCTCGAAGGGAATAATCGATTTCATCCAAACTTTGCACATCTTAATATTTCTTCCAAACTTAGTTTATGTTCGAAGATGGGGAATATCGGTCCACTCCTTCTGGTACCTCCCCCACAAAATGGTCAAAATTATGATGAAAACCAGTGAGCGGAGCAGTATAGTCGGGGCCGACCATATGATACCCTACACAACTACCACGGAACTCTAACTTTTGCGTATGTTTATTTCGAGCCTGATCAATATTTCGTGATATTTGCACCCTCTTGACCGATTAGAGATCAACAGCACCTCCTCCTTACACTGACATATTTTTCGAATATCCCAATATTCTGTACAGCCCTTCTAATTACGTGTCCAGTCCAGATTGTGATTTTCGGTTTTGTAGTCTATAGATCGACTCGAAAAAATACAAAAAAAAAAAAAAAAAATAGTTTTGGGTCCAATTCATCCCAAAATTTTAATCTGATCATCACAGAAAATTACAGGCGTTGTCGTTGACCATACCTGGATCCTCAAGGAAAATTTCAAAGCGATAAGCGTTATATTTCCCCCCTCTATTGTGGTAATATGTTACTAAATAATATATAAATATTTTCAGGAGCTTACGTATCCTGAAAATATTTACGTGTAACTCCCACATCCGAGTACATACGACCATATAATTGGTATCAATTTAAAGGTGAACCACTCCTCTTGGATATACTATCAACTTCTCGGGTCTATGTCCTTCAGGAGTAAATATATACGCTATAGAATACAAATTTTGTAATTTTTCACACAAAAGTCAGGGTCAATTTGACCCGATCTTTATCAAAACAGGCATGCTTATTCTGTGGCCCGATCTCCTTCTCCATGCCAAAATTCGCGATGTTTGGGCCATAATTACGGCCTCTGGAGCGACCAGAAAAACCGACAAAAATTAAGTATTTGGTCTATTTCATCCCCTAAATATTAACCGATCTTTGGCAAAAACAATAGGGGTCTTCATTGGGCAGAACCCATCCTACATGCAAAATTTCGTGAAGATTGGCCCATAACTGTGGCCTGTATCGTGTTTACAAATTATAATGGACAAACGGACGGACGGACACACATGTCTAGATCGACTCAGCTAGTCGAGATATGACGATCGGTATACTTAAAGGTGGGTCTAGGACCAATATTTGGCGGTGTTACAAACTCTTGGGGCTGTACAAAGCTATAATACCCTGACAACATAGATGTGTAGGGTATAATTAATTTTATAATAACACGCAAACGGTCTATCCGATTTTAACGAAACTTTGTACAACTTATTATATTTATCAAGCCTAGTTTAAGTAGGAAGATGGGACCCATTGGCCCACTCCTTCTGGTACCTTCCCCCTAAAGGGTCAAAATTTTCAATATTTATAAATCCAATATCAGGCGAATGGAATGTCCTATTTGAACCAAACTTTGCACAACCTATTATCTTTACCAAGCCCATGCTCAGTTTGAAAATGGGACCCATTGGTCCACTCCTCCTGATACCTCCCCCAAAAATTATTGAAATTTTCAAATGGTCTAAATTTTTCATATTAATGTATCCAATATCAGGCGAATGGAATGTCCGATTTGAATCAAACTTTGCACAACCTATTATCTTTACCAAGCCCAGATTATGTTTCCGGTACCTCCCCCACAAATGATTGAAATTTTCAATATTTATAAATCCAATATCAGGCGAATGGATTGTCCGATTTGAACCAAGCTTTGCACAATCTGTTATCTTTACCAAATCTAGATCAAGTCCGAAGATGGCACCCATTGGTCCACTCCTCCTGGTTCCTCCCACACAAATGGTCAATATTTCGGTCATTCCATTCGCCTAATATTGGATTTATAAATATCCAATATTAGGCGAATGGAATCCCCGATTTGAAATAAATTTTGGATAACCTATTATCTTAAGGGGACCCCCCCCCATTCTCGGGGTAAAATTTTTTTTATTTAATTCGAATTTATACTAATTCAAGAATGTCCCTACAAAATTTCAAGTAAAAATCTCAAGAACTCTTGAAAATATAGCCAATTTATTGTGTCAGCATCAAGTGACGGCTAAAGGGCTTCTCAAACTTAAAACGCGTTTTTCTCTATTGCGAATGGCGGGCACGATAGCTCAAAAACTAATAACCCAATCGATTCCAAATTTTTACACGTTTCTCTGTGAGTGTATAGCTATCGTATGAACTAGGATAAAGCCAATCGGTGAAGATCTTCCTCATTATACCCTACACAACTATGTTGTCAGGGTATTATAGCTTTGTGCAGCCCCAAAAGTTTGTAACGCCGCGAAATATTGGTCCTAGACCCACCGTTAAGTATATCGATCGTCATATCTAGACTAGCTGAGTCGATCTAGACATGTGTGTCCGTCCCTCCGTCTGTCCATTATAATTTGTAAACACGATACAGGCCACAGTTATGGACCAATCTTCACGAAATTTTGCATGTAGGATGGGTTCTGGCCAATGAAGACCCCTATTGTTTTTGGGAAAGATCGGTTAATATTTAGGGGATGAAATGGACCAAATACTAAATTTTTGTCGGTTTTTCTGGTCGCTCCAGAGGCCGCAACAATGGTCCGAACATCGTGAAATTTTGCATGGAGAAGCGGATCGGGCCAAAGAATAAGCATGCCAGTTTAGAGAAAGATCGGTCAGTATTTAGCGGGTCAAATGGACCCTGACTTTTGTGTGAAAAATGACAAAATTTGTATTCTATGGCGTATATATTTACCCCTGAAGGACATATACCCGAGAAGTTGATATTATATCCAAGAGGAGTGGTTGACCTTTAAATTAAGACCAATTATATTGTTGTATGTGCTCGAATGTGGGAGTTACACCTAAATATTCACAGGTATCTCCGTATTCGTATATTATTTAGTAACCCATTATCACTCTGGAGAGCGGAACTACAGCGCTGATCGCTTTGAAATCCATTTGAAATTCCATGAGGTTCCAGTTATGGTCAAGGACAACGCCTATAATTTTCGGTGTTGATCAGATAATAATTTTGGAATGAAGTGGACCGAAAACTTAATTTTTTTGTTATTTTCGAATCGATCTATAGACCTCAAATGAAAGCCGAACATCACAATATTCGGTAAATATGCCAGTGTGAGGAAGAGGTGCTGTTTACCTCTAATCGGGCAAGAGGGTGCAAATATCACGAAATATTGCCCAGTCTCGGAATAAACATCCGCAGAACATTTGAGTTCCGTGGTAGTTGTGTAGGGTATCGTATGGTCGGCCCCGTCCGATTATACTGCTCCGCTCACTGGTTTTTAACTTGGTTTTTGGTAAAAAATCGGCGATTTTCCAAAAATATTTTTTCAAAGGTCCGCCATTTTGTTAATTTTAGAGCGAAGTCAATAATCCTAGTTCATACGAGAG